GATAAACTGCAGTCAAGCCCTGTCTATACCCGACGCTAAGCGGGTGTTTGCCGCGGGTTACAACCTTCAGAATGTTCTCTTTGGGTGGCTGGTGTGGCCTGAAATCTCACGATGCCTTTGCTAAGATTCAGATAGCTTGAATGCTACCTGAAGGAAGCATATACGCTAACTGCTTGTGTTATCGGCACGTGGCCACACTCCGAGGGCGGGCGTGGTATACGCGAGTATTTTTCGGGTATTTTTGATTGTGTAATTCTTCCTACATGCTGTACAATATTTGGTTCACGTGTTCAAGGAATATCGACAATGTTTTCGCACATTGTTGAAAAATTGTTTCAGGACTTCTGAGTACTTTTGAGCAGCTACATTTAGCGGCATGAAATTCTAGGCGTCGGCATTAACGCACTGCATAGCACGAAGTGATGTCACAAATGTGTGCCGCTTACGTTCGATTGCCATCTCGAGTGATGCATCCCCACGGTAACCGTCCGCTTCCTCTTCGGGATCGTGATTAACTGCATCACCTGTGCGAGACGTGCACACAAATTAAGATGCCACCAAACTTAAGTTACATAAGATACACATAGGCATGCGTTAGGTTCAACTTAATGGGGGAGGGGCAGGATTGTATGCAGAATCTTTTTTTTGGGGGGGGGGGGGGCAGGCTATTTTTTGGTCTAAAGTGGGGGGCGAGCACCCGTATCAGCCGGGAGGCAAGAGAAACGCGAGCCCCCTTTCCCCCCATTGAGAAAAGTTGGGGGCTGAGTCCCCCCCCCCCCCCTTTCGACAGTGGTCACACTGGGAAAAGTAAAAGTAGGGCGTAGTTTTCCATCACAACAGTAATCACTCAATTATGTTCTTACGGGAGAATGGAATTGTTACGAGGCTATGTTACAACATATTGGAACTTTGCCAACATTTCCGCTGTGGTGATTTTTCTTGTAGGCTCTTTATATATTTTTATATCTCTGCTCACGGGTTAGGTTAGTAGGGGGGGGGGGTTTGCCCCCCCCCCCCCTACTAGCGAAAGAGTTGGTACGCCACACTGCCGAGCACGCCAATGGGAAATGGTCATTTTGCGCTATGTATGCGTGGGGAAAAAGAATTCAGGTTGGGGCCGAGGCCTGGAGTGCCAACCCTGGCTACCTGACTGGGAGCGCAAGAAGTAGTTGATAATCGTCGCCCCCCCCCCCCTGCCCCCTCCCCACTAGGTTAAATGTATGGGACAGGCTTTGCCCCCTTCCCTTCTCGTGCAAACGCCTACAAATATTACAGCAACGCATTACAGGCACGTATATAACAAGTATTGCAAGTTCGCCTTACGTACAAGTCGTGACTCCATGCATGAAAAATTACTGGTAAAGGGTGAATCGGAGAATCATTCGAGCTCACTAAAACAATTGTTTTGTTCATACGGAAATCTTTAGCGATCTCCGTGCCCCATAACGTGCAATTTCCAGGGGCGCCTTATCAGGATTGCGAGTTGTAAAACGAAATTAGGAACAGAGGGCGACGCTCAATCCCCCTGTCCCTCGAGAGTAGCTAAGAGAAAGTCAGCCTAAGTACGTTATAACACTTAAAAATGTCCAGCTAATATGCCTAATAAGTACCCGATGGAAACAAGAAGTGTCTCCGTAATACTCCCGAAACAGCACCCTAAAAATTTCATTGTGTAGGTAATCTAAACTTGCAATGGGTATCTAACCTTGCAAGTGATCTAAACTGCAGATCACCGGTATACTTACTCCATAAACGGACGATAAGAAGGACACGAAGAACTTCTTGTCTCTGTGTCGTCGTTCTGTTCTCGCGCTATAAATATCGACTTGTCATACCAACTAGCCCAAGCTGCCACACTCCATAAACGGGGTTGAAACGACATGCCGATGTTTAACGTACACCCTTATGAGATTGGCAAATTATGACAAAGGGTTATTCGCCGGGCGTGTGTCAACGGAAAGCATTTGCGGTTTTATAGTGTACCTTCAATAAATGAATAAACAAATGAATGAATACGTCCTTGTCTAACCACGATATTAAGTTATGCCTATATTTATAATACGTATTATATTATTATTTGCCTGATGCTTTCTTAACACGCAGCATATATTATTACGGATGAGTGTGTTAGCAGCATGTAATGTTACACTCTACTGTACTCTCAAAGGTAGCAGTATCATTCATATATTGTTGTATGGCAAACCTTCATCCGGTCTCTCCAACAAGAATACACAGGCGCCGGAGCTTCCAGCTGCTCCCGGGCGCGCATCTTCGCCTGTAAACGTCAAAACGTGTGTTCGGCGGCATTATATTTTAAATGTATTCGCATGCGACGCACGCCGTATTAACACGCGGTGACGTACGCGGACAGAAACCTTCGCTCCCGTAGTCTTCAGGTGATGCCGTCAGGCGTTTGCTCCATTTGAAGCAGCAGGGGCTGCATGGAGACAGTTAACAACCATCATGAGCGACTACATACAACTGCGTTATTGTAGACAAATAAGGTCACATTACCGTGCTGTTTTGCCCTTCAGTGCGTTCGCCAGAAAAATCCATTTGAGCAACAAGATTCTGATAACTTGAAGATATCTCAGAGTGGGCACGGCTTCTGCAAACAGCTTACACCTTTTGCAAGCAGACGGCAGCTTACTTCTGTCAGACACAGGTTAACCGATCGATTGTTTCATTCCCGTTTTTAGTCTAGCCCGAACAAATCTCTTTTTATAAAACTTATATTTTCGCGGTCTGCGATGCCGGCAGCGCTGAGCACATAACCTCCAAGTTTTTCAGTGCGCGGCAATCACGAGAGCCATACCGAGAAATCAGTAGGTACGCAGAACGTCTATGGGGTGGCGCTAGCAGCGCGACAAGCGCGTTTAAGCATGCGCGCCTCATTTGAAACGGTGAAATATGCTGTTTAGGGTGGGGGGTGAGCAGCAGCGCTTGGCAGCGCTTTTTGTTGCCATGTTTACAAAGCTCAACCATAATACTTTGGGGCTTAAAACGACTTTTTGCTCAAACTAAACCTGCATGAACCAATCAAATAAAGAGGAGGCAAGCAGGCGACTTGTTTTTCAGTTCGTTGGACCGAAGTTACACTGGAAACAAGAGAACATCGGACAAACCATTCTTCCACGGCACAAACCCATCCAATCCGCCTATCGTCGTGAATTTTTGCTTTCGTTACTGTTTTTTCTGTTCCTCGTGGTTTTGAGCGGTGTTTCCACTTGGATTTTTTGTTACAATATAGTACTGAGTGAAGTGGACATCACGGATAACAAATCAGACTATGAAAAATAAATACTAGCTGGGGTTCCACGTCCCAAAACCACAATATGTTTGTTAGGTACACCATGGTGGCCACTAGCGTATCGCCTTCATTACAACGCGACCACCCCGACCAGGCTCGAGCCCGCAACTTTAGGGTAAGAGCTACATCACCGCTGTGGACAACAACGTGGCCGAAGAAAGGCACAATTAATTGAGTGACCGTAACGCTGACTTTATTGAACAAAAGTTCATTTGCATGTGCACGAATATATTTGTTCTGGAAATCCATACAAAGGAAACAACGGATCACACTTGCGCATGCACATAATATTCTCACGTGCGTCGCAAACAGCCCACTGGATCCGCTGAAATATTTATACCCGTGCGTATGCTGTGTGGGTGATAGGCGCACCTGTTTCGGCTAACCAATTTCGATTGGGAAACCAGTGACTTACCATAAGAGAACTGCTTATGCACGCACCGCAGACAATTCCTGTTGCTGCAGCCTTGCGTTAGGCAATGTTTAGAAGATGTCTACCACAGATGAACAGGAGGGGCGTAACTATTGAGCTTATTTACAGCGGGCGGGGATATGTTACATGTATGTTCTATGTTCGTGAGTGCGTATGTATGCGTAAAAAGGTTGTACTCCCCACCCCCTCCCTTATCCGGCTAAGCCAGCGAGCCTTGGGATTGAGAAAAGACCACGCTGAAACAAACATGCAACGGTGTGCCGATGCGTCAGACCAGCGCCTATTCTGACGTACGACTGATAAAGGAGAGATAATTTGGGAGAGATCGCGAGCGATTTAGATGATGTTATTCTCCTGCACACCACAATTGTCAATTAACACCCACTTTCTCCCCCGCCTGGCTACGCCAATGGTAGTAGCGCTCTTCTAGCGTGTTTCTCGTTTACATATTAATATTCGCGCTACATATATTTCTGGTATTGAACGAGTTCATAACGCGAAATTCGCGAAAACTACATCAAACATTTCACAATGCATACGTACCTTAGAAACAGTTGCTTAAGATGTTTATTAAATTCATATGTACATACATACCAAACTGGATTGTGTTTGTTGACGTGGACCACCAAAATCTCACTTCTTTATTAATAACAAATAATAAACATAGACATAAATACAATAAACAATAAACATAAATACAATAAACATAAATACAAAACAAAAAGAACAACATAAATACAAACAACAAATTCAAATAACAACACAAATACAAAGCTAGCGTGCTAACTTGCTAGAAATTTGTGATGTGATACCCTTATCACTAAAGGAAGAATATTGTACATTGTAAAAGGTGTATATTGTAAGGAAGTATATTGAAAGTAAAATTGTACATATTAAGAAAAAAACTGCAGGGTGCTAGTATGGACGTAAAACTTCTTGCTTCTAAAACTTTCATACGGCCGATACTGGAATATGCCAGTATTGTCTGGAGTCCCCACCAAAAAGTGCTTGTAAATAAACTTGAACGCATACAACGGCTTGCAGCTCGCTTTATATGTTCGAGATATAAGCAGAACAACTCAGTCACAGAAATGCTACAACTATGTGATCTGGATACGCTCCACAAGCGCAGACGCAAAAATTGGTTGAAGTTTCTTTTTCAATCATTAGAAGGTGATTTTAAAACTAACAGAAATAACTACATAGAACAACCTCGTGAAGGAAGCGAGGAGGCAAACCATACACGAGTGCTGCAACCTTATTTTGCACGAACGAAGGCGTACCGTCATACTTTCTTGCCCGATGTCATTGAAGATTGGCATGGGTTACCGAGTAACATAGTCAATGCGGGTGATGTTAATGAATTTGTGCGTTTACTTGATTTACATTTATGTGACTTATTGGAAATAATATTGCGATTGTTATTCGTTGCATTGCGAATCAGGGTGTGTGTTTTTCGTTTATTTCTTAGGAATGCAGAGCTTTCACGGATTTGTATATATGTATACCTGGTTTATCACTGGGAGATCTATAGTTATATCCCCAATTTATTTGTACAGTGTGTCGTACCTTTTCTGTAATGACCCTCAAAAGAGGGTTGACAGTATTTCTAAATAAATAAATAAATATAACTAATACGCGAAATAGTGAGCACATGTGTCATCGATGCAATTTAGCCCGGAGCGAGTCCTTCAAATATGTTATCCCTGCTTAACATGTACACATGCTTTGCTGTCTGCTGTCAGTGTCGACTCAGCTACTCGCCATCTTTCGAGTACTTTTTCAAATTATCAAGAGCCATGCTTTTGAGGGTGTCGATGATTTGCTTTTGCTGCTCGTTGCGTCGCAAGAGATCGTCGCGACGCGCTGATACTCGAAGAGCGAGGTTTTCGTTATTCTGGGAAACCTTGCCCGCGTCTTCAGCAATCTTCTCGGCCAGACGATGCACTCTTGCACCAAGGCCTGCGTAGAAAAATGGAGGCATCTGCGAATGTCACGTGATCCTTCGATCGTCCTACTTATTTAACACAGTAACAATGAACAACATGGAGCGAGTGGGAACAGATATATAGATACAAGTTATTCACATTGTATTTGTGATCACGCTCAGTATAAAATTTCCTTGGTAATTTTTAATGAATGGGCTGAGTCGAGGTGTTCAGGCCCCATGCTCAGCTCTAGGTATCAGACTTATTGTACACTGCCCCCGCCCCCCAACCCTCCCCTGGAAATATCGCATCCACACACGCACGAGGTCTAGTGGTTATGGTGATCAACTGTTGACCCGCAGGTCGCGTGATCGAATCCCGGCCGTGGCGGCCCCATTTTCAGTGAAGAGCGAAAATGTTTCAAGTCCGCATACTTACACCCGAACCGCTCCCTTCACTTGCCACCCCCTTCAATGCAGCACAAGCGCGTTTCAAACGAGCTGCTTTGAGGCGGTGCAAAGGTCAAGTCAAGGAGCGTTTCTGAATACGGAGGTTACCTTTTTGAGTTTATTTCTATTTTGTGTTGCTCTCTTGTGAACACAGATGCAATATAGTGATGTTTCCTGCTGCTTCCCAATGTAAAAGGTGTGAGACGTATACAGCGTTCTTTGCTTTTACTCTCACACCTTCCACCAAGTTCGCATTGTATTGATGAGAAATAAATAAATGATAATATTATTAATAATATTATTATTATGAACGCAACAGACACATACATACACGCACCATTTGTAGGGTGACTTACGTTCACTCGTGAACTGTGTAAAGCCATCATTAGCGGGAGAATCTGCAGGTTCTTCGGGCTCGTCTTCAGGAAACACTGAAAAAAGAGAGAGAGAGGAAAGAGAGATACGGTATTACGGTGGGCCACTTAGACATGAATGCGTGGAAGGTCTCAAGGTGTTTTCTGTAAGAGACTACTGCTGAATAACACAATACGTGCATTAAAGCGAGCATTTTCTATCCGTGTAGCCCCCCTCGACTGCACGGTGGTCGCCTGGTCAGTGAAGCCATGGGCTGTGTTTGCTTTTATTGCTACGCACATGCACCAGACAACAGCGCCGATAATCCAGGTGGTCGCGATCACACGATAACCTCGCGTGTACACGTGTAATGTTTCGAAAACAATGCGTGGGCTGGGTACTCAATGTCTGCATGTTCCCTATAGGCTGCCTAATAATGGGAATTTAGGTTGGAGATAGCAAGCTGTCATTGAAAATTTTCATTACGATAAAGCACAATTTCGAATAAAAATAAATACATAAATTCCTTTGCTAAGTGTTTTACTGCTGCAGGTACTCGGAAGTCGATGGGCATCCGTTTTTTAATCAGAGTCAAAATCGCGCGGTTAGAATGTTTCTATCTTTTTAGGTAACTTACGCTCATCTTGTCTCTCGAACGAAAATCCAACTGCGCCGTGACTTTCCGGCTCTTCTTGAAATCCATTTTCACCTGCAAAAGTTGAACACATGTGAACCAATGCGCAACTTTGCCTACGATCCCTGTTCTAGAGCTGCCTAATAATGTGAATTCAAGCTCATGACGGCGAACTGTCATGTTGCAGTTTTCATTATTATAAAGCACAATTTGGAATAAATAAATAAATAATAAATAAATAAATGCACTATAGCTGAGCGTTCTATACTGCTGCATGCACTCAGAAGTTGATGGGCACCCGTTTCTTAATCAGAGATAAAATCATGCGTTTAAAACGTTTCAATATTTCGGGATAACTTACGTTCATCAGGTCTTTCGAAGGCAACACCCGACTGTGCCATAATTTTCCAGTTCTTCAGGAGGCACATTTTCACCTGTAAACGCCGAACAAATGTGAACAATTAATTTAAAAGTATGCGTAACATTGTAATGACACTGTGAATGCACGAAAAACAAAAGCTATGGGGCATATTGACGCATCCAAACACAGGTACTACTTTTGCACGGAATACGTTGAACTGCTTTTTTGTACTTCTTAAGTACCGGATTAGGTAGTTTAATTAAATAACTTTCGAAGCAGCACAGCTCTGCAAGAAAAAAAAAAAGAAGAATCCAGTGAGGAAGCTGTAGATTAGGTTGAGGAACGTCCGATTAGACAGTTTCTTTAAGTTTTACTGAGTCTGAGTGAGTCCGGCTTACTTTATAACTTCAAGAGCTCCAGCGCTTCATATCAGCTTACCAGTTCTGGTGTTGCTATCTATGTTGCGGTAGGCATCGTTAAGTGTGCCTGTGTCTACAGTTGTACAAATATTTATTGCCACTTCATGACGTTTCGCTCAATGAACAAAAAAATTACAACACAGTCACCTTTCATACGCATGATTTTTATAACATCAATTTCCAAGGTACGTGGGATTTGCCCGTTTTTTTTTTTTTTCATAAGCGAGGCTGAGTGAGCTCCACAAATTTTGCCGACTAATGCTCATGAAAATTTGGAAATTGCATCATTATGTGAGCCTATAGTATTATGCTGCAATGCAATGCACTCACGTAATAGCCTATTTCATCTTACTTAGAATGCCAGATTAGCGTTCATACGTTGGGTCACTTACGTTCGCCCGCCAACGCATAGCCGCTGGCCTGCATATTTTCGCGTGTTGCTGGTTCTACAGCTGCAAAGGTAAGGCAAAATAATAGGAACACTCATTCATAAATATTTAACTACGCAGTAACTTACGTTCGGAGTTGTAGTTTTCGGCTGACACGGACGGCGTTTGTTGCAGCGCGTTTATTTCTGCCTGCACCGTCTGCATGGAGAGAGTTACTTTGGTGAGACCTCAAAAATGGATACATGTGACTGTTTAAGGTTGCATGAATTTTACCTTCTTGTTGTCAACCTCCTCGAGTGCCTCGACGCATTCATTGCGGTCAGCTTGGGACGACGATTCCATGTTAATTTTGCAATAAAACTTGCGAAAAGCTCTTCGCCGAAACTGCTGATACCTCGACTGACGCAGGTATGGAGAACGTCCTTCCGCGCGCAGACGCTGGTGACTTCTGGAACGAAAAGTACTCGGCTCTTCACTTTTTTTCCCTCTTTCTTTTAAAAGTTTGAAATAGTTCGCCCCGCTTCACAAAAATACAAATTTCGCCGCGATAAGCGCCGGCGGACCCGAGCGAAGTTTTCTCGGAAGCGACACGGTTAGCGCCGTTCTCGGCATGGCCTTTGAGATTCAGGCCACACAGCCATCACAGAAGCTTTTTTGTGCATACAGACAGTATGTACCGTGGCTTCCGCGAGGTGGCGACACCCGCGCTGCTTCCGCGCTGTTTGCGAGCTCGCTCGGTCACTGCGCCGCTGGCGGAACTTTCGTTTTCTGTCCTGCCCTTCGTTGAAGTACACTGTTCGAGCGAAAATCCTCGGCTACGATAAAAGCTTTGCCCAGCCGTAGTCCCTGCCCGTGCACTACTGTGCACCGTTGCCTGTGTGGTGCGCCCGGGTCCACAACAACACTCCGTTAGGATCGAGGACCCACCCAACGGCATCGCGCGTTACCAGCGTGTGCGCTACGCTGGCTGGCTGCACTGCACCGCGCTCAACCCAATGATTCGCTGTACTTTGTTGGCGCCCACAGTGCTCGTCAGAACCGGGAAGTTGTCCAGCACAGAGGCGCCAAGATTGTAGAGGATTAAAGGGCTCATCGCATGGTTTCGTATCGGTCCGGATTCATCGCCGTCTTTCTGTGGTCGCCCTTTGCGAACGGACTGAAGGGGATCTATGAAGGATCGCGGGGGCGCAAAAACAAAATGTAACGGCGTGACGAGGTGGGCCCCACCGGCGTCAGCCGCGCATTTGTGCCGTTGTTGTCGCTAACTGCCGGAAGATGACGCCAGAGGGTTAACAACCTCTTACGCCTCTCTCAAGTTACATCTTCACACTTTGTTCTAGCGGCATTGCATGATTTCGCATGGGCTATCCAGTGTATACTAGACAGGGTGTGATAATGGGCATGCATACTCATTGAACACTTTCGTAGTTAATGATTGATAAGTACAATCAAAAGAGGGGGGAGGGGGCAAGCATGGCGCTTTTAGTTTTGTTCTTGGCGCACGTGTGAAGTCCGTTCTTTTTCGTGCGTTCATTGTTTTGGAAGCGTGTTCGCGCGATTTTGTCCAAGGTGGCCCATAAGCGCAAGCTTTATCTGTCCTTGATATTATAATTACTTCACCTTTTGGCGTTTTTGTTCGGAGAGACTCAAAATGGCACTAAAGCTGCATGGCCCGCTTTTGTACTGCCTTTCGCAGATAACAAATATATTTGTGCTCAGCCTCGTAGTATACTTGAAAGCGTTCTTTGCACGTTCTGTCCGCCGTCGGATGTGGGCCTCCGCAAAGGGCACATTTCGGCGAGCACTGGTGACGGAGAAGACGACGGCGCCGAAAGCGCGTCAAAAAGTCTCAGCAACAGCTGGCCGAAGAGGACCGGTCAAGGGATTCCAGCGTGGCAAGTGCTCCCAGGCAGGGGCGTTCCGTCACGCCGGCTGGCCGCCGGCGCGACGGAACTCGGAATAGAATCACAGACGGAATAGAAATCACAGAACTTATTCAGGTTGCTTCAACAAATGGCCATCTTATAACTTTCCAGTGGATTCCCGCTCATTGCGGCGTGATGGGAAACGAAGAGGCAGACGCTGAAGCTAAAAATGCCTTAAGCAGTGCCCCCGAAGTACGCATTGCGTTTTCACGAGCTGACACGAACGCCCTGCTTCGCTGCATGATGCGCAGCTACACACTTCAGCACTGGACCAAACCGGAACGGCGACACCAGCGACTTCACAAATGGGACCCGGAAATGAGGTTCCGCATGCCTCCTAAATTGAAACGGCAACTCACAAGCATGATCCACCGCATTCGTCTTGGTGTAGCGTACACCAGACGTTACACACATATCATCGGTCGCAGTGACACCGGTCCTAATTGTGAACACTGTGATGTGCCAGAAACACTTGAGCACATATTTTGTGTCTGCCCAGCATACGCACGTGAACGACAAACACTGATTTCTTCTACTGAACTATATCGCAGTAGGTCATTAACTGATGAGACCATGTTGGGCCCTTGGCCAGACACCAACAGTGCAACTGCGGTCACAAGAGCAGTTATTACCTTTTTAGAAACAACTGGACTATGTGCGCGGCTATAAGATGTGTCTCAGCTAGAAAGAACACTACATACTCACCTCTATATCCCACCATCGTCATCCATTAATCTTTCTTTTCCCCTTTCCCTTCCCCCAGTGTAGAGTAGCAGGCGAGAGCAAGCTATCGCTCAGGCCAACCTCTCAGCCTTTCTGTAAATAAACTTACCTCCTCCACCTCCTAGTGCAATTCGAGAAAGCTTGTGAAATTGAGCTTGTTTGTGTATTATCACGATTAAAAAGAAAAAATATGTTAAAGTCAAGGACAACCAAGACAGCATTATAGGTACTTTATATAAAATTTGCAGCATTTCTTTGCGAACTTTGGCGACTTTAAGGGTATCTATCTATCTATCTGGCCGCTTACGTTTGCGTGTTCTCGTCAGAACACTGCTGCTGACACCAAAGCCCGAACACTCGGAACCAGGCTCCACCTACCTGCCTTCACTTTAGGTGAAGCCCGAACACTCGGAACCAGGCTCCACCTACCTGCCTTCACTTTAGGTGAATCGCCAGCTATCACGATTTCACATTACTTTACCTAATTTTGCGCCCAGCAGGAGCGATGTAAGGCGCTCTTCGCAGCTCGCAACCGGGAATACAGCTCGGGATAGTTAGCTGGGTCAGAAGGGTCGCCGAAGCACAGCAACGTGCGGTCATCTAGAGCGGCCCGAGGGCCCGTCGTCATCCTGCTTCCACTTTCCCTGCCCCACCTGCCCTCAAATGATTCTTCCGAGGATCAAGAAAGTCTCTTACCTACCTCAGGCATATTTCTTCATCTTCTTCACCCACAATTTGAAGACATAATACGAATAGAGATAGCGCAAAAACTTCGAATATCGCAATTTTTCTCCAGATGCAGCCTTGGGCAGGTATATTTTAAGGGCTTTAAATAACTCTCGCTTAACGCAAGAAAACGACACATCGGAAACCATAACGGAGAACCCGGTTCTCAGTAGCTTGCACTATCCTCCGCCGCGCAAGTGTCTCAGCAGGCGTATAGATCTTCCTTTGGATTGTAAAATAGGGGGAGAGCGCGAACGCAGTCCCCCACTACCAAAAATTACATGCCCCATCTGCCCCAGTTTGGGGTAGTGGCAGGGGTCAGCACGAGCGCAGTGCAATGCCCACGCCTCTCCCTGGGGGCACCGCCATCTTGACCACGGTTACCCCGACACCAGGTAAGTATGCCAGACAACGGGTCGCACTCGGTCAGCACCCATCGCGACGTCTTGTGTTATTCTGGTTAGGTGCAGACGACGGTCGAAGATTACTGTTTTCTTCTTGCATATTTTAAGGAGCCATTTGAAGAAACACTCAGGCCCACTAATATGCGTCGGCCTGTTAAAAAAAATTGAACGTAGCTCTGATTGTGGATTTAAAAAAGCTCAAGTTTTATCAAATATAACAGCAGTTCTAGCGCAACAAGCACGAATCATCTTTACGCTGCTAGAGGCGCTAGCGCTGCGGTCAATTAACGGATGGCACACGTTTTTTCCAACGCTATTCATGTTCATGCACTTGTACATGTATTTTCAGCGCCATATCAGCACGTTACAGTCAATAAAAAAATTACAGCACAGTCACTTTCCATGCGCAGGCTTCGCATAACACCGACTGCGAAGATACGAGTGATCTACTAATTGTTCTTTTTTTCTGCGATTCAGGAAGGGATGTTTCGTATATTAGTACATTTTGATAGATCAGTTTTTGTTATTCGAAGGTATTTTTTTTTATGGAAAGCAAGTAGCTAGTTAAAACGCACCCGTCTTTTCGTGTATATGGTACCTTTGTCTTGGAAAAAAAAAAAACTTCATGGGTGAAAGCCAATACGATTTTACAGACGCAGCTGTGTACAGAAAACTGTCATGCGAAAGCTCAGGCAGTTTGAAGACACTGCGCGCTTTCATATTCACCCATCGTTTCGGACGCATCGGTTTGAAAACTTCCAAACATGATAATCACGACATGCTTGTCATGTAACAACATGACTTCGTCCCACACTGATCATGTGCTCACGGCCGTTTTGCCAACTTCACATATGCCAAATTTGATATTACGTGACGCCAATGAATGTCGAAGGTATGTGACTGGTAAAAGCGTGATAATAATGAGATGCGTGTCATGTTAGAACATGACTACATGCGACAGTCAAGGCGCCAATACATTTCGACGTGTCGCGGTGCGCCTGTTCACAGCGTTCATTTTGTCGCGTCACGCCGTCGTTGCCACGCCAGGCACCGGTCATGCCATATACTCGCAGACGCACGCTGCGTTGCTTTGACGCATGCGCGTTTTAGCGCGTCCGGCGTCCCTCCGTCACGGAAAGAAGGAGACGCAGTGTTGTCTGGGTAATGCATCGGCGTGAAATGCAGCATGTCGCATTTCACGCCAGTTGCCCTCGGGCCCGCCGACGGACGCTGGTCTCGCCTGGCGTCAGACCACAGAGT